TCTTTCCCTCTTTCTCTCAGATGATCTTAACTTAAAATTCAACGAAATGATGCTGCACGCAGTGTATGTGTGTTTGAAAGTTGATGGGCATTCATTCAGCAAGCCAGCATTCGTATTGCAGACGAAATCCTCCTTCCCCATAGCTATGAAACCCATCGAGGTTCAGGAGGTACTGCAGGCAATTCTAGGAGATAAGAGCATGTTTCGCCATAAAGTGCAGCTGGAACATGGTTACAAGGCTGGTATGAAGCCATTTTAATGTCATGATTTATAATCGTGTTTCATATTTCTATAAATAATTTTAAATTGGTGTATAGTGGTTAAATAGCACTAAAATATAAAATTCAGGTAACAAGAAGTTTGCTAGCAAATGACTTCCTCAATTTGTGGCTGTATTTTGTAGAAAAGTGATGCTAAAATATTTGGAGAGTTACTCCTTTTCTGCAGAATTGGTTTGGGTATTTGGTTTTAATGTTTTGTGGCTGATGTTACAAAGTCAGTAGCTGTTTTAAATTTATGTTGACCTTTTTAATGAGCCATTTTTCAAAGCACCTTTTCGAAGAGTGTGTCAAAACAGCAGTGGCATCTGTTTGCTGCTTGGAAAAAACCAAACTGTTCAGAAACATAATAGATATAACCATTTTCTTTTTCTGTTGATTTCTTGATATGCTGGTATAAATATATTCAGGCTTCTTACATGATTTTAATACTTGATTGCTCTGCTTTCAGAGTTTGAAATAAAACTGGATGCAGAAAGAAAGAAGGTTCTCCCTGTAACAGAAACAGATGACCCTGCAGATTTAAATGTTCAAAGGTGCCTTTTATTCAGCTACAGGTTTTCCTTAGCAGCCCATTTTATCTGAGTTTATTCCTGTTGTTCATTGATATGCAGAGGTAAAGCAAATACTTCACTTTGCTCTCATAAAAGTATGAAAAAAATACCTGATCACATCAGATCAGTGGTCCATCTGGACCAAGTCTTGCAGCCAATGGGAGGCCAGCACCAATCTTCAGAAAAAGGTATAAACAATCTCATGGCAGATGGGTGAGGTGATCTTTCCCTGATAATGGGAGATCAAGTTAAGCTAGGGGTGTTAAAACACATGGACTACAGGTTAGATCTGGCTTGTGGAACCCTGTCATCTGGCCAGTGGGGTTCCTGAAGGAGTTGCCAATAATTCAAGGGTAGGGCCCACTGCTGAATTCTGGGGTATGGAGCCCTATTGGGGGTGCATTTTGGCAGCTGCAGGACGAATGATGGCTGCATTAACCCCTGTGGCTCTGTGCCAATGAAGTGGCTAAAACAGCTGCAGCAGTTAATGCTGCTGCCATTCTCTTTGCTGCTGGAGGTAGGTCTGGATCTGGGTTGCAAGGCTCCTCGTTGTCTGGATATGGCCCAGGAGGGCAAGTGAGTGTGACACTTCTGGGTTAAGCCGTGAAATATGAAGTTTTGAATCCCTCCTTTTTTCATTGACTCTTACATCTCTGGATGCATTTGTCATCCACTTTGAATCTTTCTAAAAGAAAATGGAGGATTAAAGTCCTGACCTCAACAGTATCCTGTAGCAATACTTGCACACTAATGAGTCTCAGTGGAGACCAGGTTAATTCTGTGCTGAAAATCTGTCAGTGCTGTTGGGAAAGCTTAAGTGAGATTTATGTGCCGTGTAAACCTTGTGTTGGGTTCCTGCAAAGGGGTGAAGAATTTCCCTTTGCCTTTTGGGAAAAGGAGAGTTGGTGACCTTTGCACCAATGCTCCTTGTCCTCCTACTAAGCACAGGTCTTCCACACACCTTCCAGACAGGTATGGGGCTTCTACGGCAAGTAGTCAAAAATAAATGAAGGGAAACAAGCAGAATATGAATATCATGCAGATGAAATGTCTATTTTACACAACGGTAATTTGAGCTTTTCTAGAATAAACAGTAGTCTAAGAATTTGGCTATTTTGGATGGACCCCTACACCTGCATGTAGCTTATTCTAGTGGGGCTTGTCAAGTCGGGAGGTGGAAAGAAATGATTAAATGAGAAATGGGTACAAAAACGGCAATAATCACATCAGCAATATTCTGTAGTACTAATGGTAATCCCTCAAAAGTTAGTTTTTGAAGAACACTCAAATTGCATCAGTGCAATAGTTTTCTGTACTGCTTTAAAGACTATTACCCTTCTCCTTTGTTACAGAATCATTTTTCTCTATACTTCTGAATCTGATTTTTGTTTGGACATGTGTCCCCGAGGGACCCTGGCAATGAAAATGAGGCATTTAAAAGCATTGGGATATCGTGTGATTCTGGTAAGAAGAGGCATTGCAAGAGAAGTTGTCCCTATAATTGCATCATATTATTGTTACAGCATATATGGGATAGGTGAAGTCTAACTGTGGGTTGTGAGCTTAACTCATGAGGAACACCTCCTTCCTAATGGGTGATAGAACTGATGGCATAATAAAAGGCAAGGGAACTCCACTGCACTGTAGCAAATGGATGTTTTGCATGAAAGATACCAAAATTCACCAACAGCTAAACCAGAAGCTACTGAATTCCTATACTTAAGACTTGCATAAATTTGGTCACATGTTGGCTCATATGCTTGTTGTATGTGGAATTGTTAAAAAGCAGGTACTCATTATGCCTGTTTCCAGTCATCAAGCCCTTTTTGGTTCACAAGGCAATGTGATTTGCTGCTTATAGCACAACTAATGCATCTTTCTCTCTCTCTTCCTTTTTTAAGTTTTCTCATCCAAAATTCCAGAAATTGGGGAAGGAGGAAGCAGTTGAGTTTTTGAAGGAAAAAATTTATTCAGCAGATAATTAATCTGTAAATTTATTTTGGACATAGAAAAACTATTAAAATGAAAGGAAAATATTCTAAGAAGAAAAATGTCTGGTGACACAGCAGCCTGAAGACATTTTTAAATTCAACTCTTTGTATTGGTTTGAACTCAGTAATACAAGCAGATACTTTCAAAGCATAAATGTATTGTGAAATAATGTAGAATAAACCTTTGAAACCAGTAATGTGTATTAACTTAAAAATGAAATCCTACTTTTAGTGTTGAACATATATGTAATCACAAATTAGTATATGGGTACTCCATGATCAAGAGTTCTTGTGTGTTTTTTGAATCGGGGTAGGTTGGGTTTGTGTCTGCAGTTGCTGTAAGGGGGAAAGACATAATGTGAGTTGCGGTTCTTCATTACAGTTGTGTAAGCACTCTATCCAGAACAGCAGTCCATTCTTAGCTGTTGCCTAGAATGTAAATTCCAAACGTCAAGGCCCTGACAAGTTTGTAGCAAAGGAAATAGCTTTGTAGTCTTGTCTTCAGAAGGTAGAACAGCATGGTATTCCTTATTCTGCATGCTTTTCCTCAGATCTGCAGCCCTCTTCCCCTCCCCCCCCCACCCCCCCCCAAAAAAAAAAAAAGGACTGAGAGTTAGATGCAAGATTCATGCGTCTCACATATTGCTGTGAACTTGCCTCTAATGTTCGTTTTAATATTACCTCTTACCAAGCTGTTTTCAACTGTGAACCTTTTGGTTTCATCATCATATGATGCAGCATCATCTGCCTTAGCTTATTAATGAGCTGAAGGATACAGTAGTGCTATGGATTTGATGGTATTGGCTGACTGGTGTGAGTTAGATGTTTTGCTAGCTTAGAACTGTAAAGCAGATGTGATGTGTGTCAAGGTAGTTTTTAGGGGCAAGTGTATGTCTTTTGACTCTGCTCTTGTGAGTGTTTATTGACAGGTGCCTTCCAGAGCCTTTCAGTGAAAATTTGACAAAAAAGATAAGGTATTAAATATAGGTTTAAAAAAAAAAGAAACAAAATATAACTCCTGAAAGGGTTATTTTGAGCATTTTGTTAATGTTGAAATGTGGTATTCCTATGTGAGCAGATGCATCTGTTGCCTATTTCTGTGGCATCTGTCCCATGGTAATGATCTTGTTTTATCAGAACAAGCAGAGATACCCTTTTACAGTGACTTTATCTGACCTAATGGTGGTGCTCTTGCTTCATATGCTGAGCAGTAAGAACTGTACCATTCTTTGTCTCTCTGAATTTAGCCTCAGTATCTGGCTTGAAGCATTTCAATGATGTGATAAAAACCAAGGTGAAAAGAAAGCATGTGTTTTTCTAAGTTGCTGCCCATTCCATCATGAAGTAGATAAATTGAATACAGTAGTAGCAAGATTCTCTCTATAAAAATATAAAGTTATGAAAGTAGAGTTATTATGGATGGTTTGGGAATTACATACATAAAGTTATGAAAGTAGAGTTATTATGGATGGGTTGGGAATTACTTACCACAAGAAGAGCTGTCCTTACTGTATTTTAGTCTGGTTGAAACCCTGAAGTCTGGGAATATTGCCAGTAAAAAGTGATCTTGTGAAATGTAGAACTTGACTTCTAGACTGAAGAAATTTGCCTAGGTTGTTGCTGGGATGTCCCCCTCTCTGGATCAGATGTAACAAAAAATACTGATTGTGTGAATTTGCCTTTTTAAATCAAGCAAGAATGCTTACTAACTACTACTCTTCCTATTCATGCTAAGTCCTAGTGGGGTAGAATGTGTATCCACTACACTGAGCTGATGACCGCTAGAAAAATACTTGATCTTATAACCAGTGAAGCACCTCATTATGTTTGTTAAAATCTAATGGATCCACACAGAAAGCACATTTCCTGTGCCAGATGGTTTGCGATAGCATCATGCTTATACTACTGTCAGCTTTATTACTCTTCCATCTTATTTGTATTTTGATACGGACACGTAAGTAATCATGAGCAGTTACAAAAAAAAATTTGCTTCCAGTGGGGACTTCAGACTCTTCAAGCTCTGTGAATATCTTTCGCCCTATATTCTTTGCTTTAAATGTGCCTCTTATGGATCATAATGCCTTCATTCTTGATTTGATAGAATCTAGCATTTCCCTGTGGTTTGTGTCATGAACAGTCATTCACTGTGTAGTGATCATCATGATATTTGGAAGGACTACAAGGTTTTTTCGAGTATCAAATTAGGGAAGGCCAAAATATGCTTGTTGGCTGGAGTATATATTTATGACATGTTCCCCTCCTGCTCCATATCTGCAAATGAGAGGCTTGCACAAAGATCAAGTACAACTTGGCTACTATTTGGTAACCAAACTTATTGGTTACTATCAAGTAGCTAATTGTAGTGTTCACTCCTCATTCAGTAGGGAAATACCCATGCAACTACTTTGGGCCTCTGCCCATTTCTTTTGCTTTTTTTTCACTATCGTTTTTCTTTTTTATCATGGTGGATCTCTTTTCTTTAGCTTCAGTTTTCTTCCTTATAGTAGTTCCTATGGTCTCAGCACCCTGCACTCTTCTTCCCTCTAATCCTTTCTGTGCATCAAACAATTGGCAATTAAGCAGTTAATGTTGATATTGAACAGTCATTTTAGCTGACACTTCAGTGAGATTAATAGGGGACAGGAGAGTTCATGCATACCTGAGCAGAAAATGTTATTCCCTGGCCTATATAAATAGAAAACATATAAACAGGAAACCCATGTTACAATTAATTCATAGGGTCATAGAAATTAGGGTTGGAAGGGACCTCAGGAGGTCATCCTCCAGTTCAACCCCCTACTTAAAGCAGAACCATCCCCAACTATATCTTCCCAGCCAAAGCTTTGTCTATCCAGGTCTTAAAAACTGCCAAGGATGGAGATTTCACAGCCTTTCTGGGTAACTTGTTCAGTGTTTTACTACCTTCCTAGTGAGCCAGTTTCTTCTAATATTTAACTTAAACTCCCCATGCTGCAACCTGAGACCATCATGCCTTGTTTTATCATCTGCCACCACTGACAGCAGTCTAGCTCCATCCTCTGTAATCACACTCCAGGTTCTTGAAGGCTGCTGTTAAATCCCCCACCCTCCAGTGGGTGCATTTACATGTGCACTTTAATGCACAGTAGCCTATTTTACTGTGCGTTAAAGCAACATTTAAAGAACCATGCAATTATACTAATGCACAGTAAAATAGGCTGCTGGTCATTGTCACTTAAAAATGCTGCTTTCAGTACTGCACATTAGGGCAACCTGATGCACATTTACTTAGTACCTCATACTGGAGGTACTAAATTTAATGTGCTTTAGGAAAAGTGCATTAATGCACACGTAGACATGCCCAGTCTTCTCCAGACTAAATAAGTGCAGCTTCTCAGAAGGAATGTGTCCCAGGCCCTAACCATTATTGTTGCCCACTGGACTCTCCAATTTGTCCCCTCATTTTGAATCTATGAAACCTTAAGCAACTGCCTAAACAGTCACAAGACAGTAAGATACTGCCCTGTTTACTTCCACTTTTTGCATCCTGTAACTAGCAGGTGTCTACTACTGCCAAGTCTCATTAAAAATAGGTACACTTATGGGCTTGAGTTTGTGAGCCTAGCTCACCAGTTGAATTCAACTTATCTAATATGAGTAAGGAATGAGTAGGCATCATCACATGAATTACTTGGATGAGTAAAGGCCTTGGTTTTTATGCAGTATTTTTATGAGGCATCTTCAAATGTTTCACAGCCTTAAATTAGTCCACAAAATTCACAGAGAAATAGCACAGGGAAGTAATTAAGTGTCATAGCATATTAAAGCCGGAGTATTTCTAAGAATAACTGAAGAGTTCATGAAGAGAGGGATTAGGAGGTAGAGAGAATGTCTTGCCAAGGTGGAGAATCTTACAACTGTAGTATGATGTGGAGGGATTGTAATGAAGTTGGAGCTGTAAGGGAAAAACAAAAGGTCTGTGAGGTAGCTTGAATCAAGGACATTGAGGGTTTAAAAAAAATAGCAAGTTCTTTGACTGAGAACTAAAAGCTGTTTCTTGGTGGGTATGATGGCCATTTCTTTGCACGTGTGCTGCAGTCTAGAACTTGGAAATTGCAGAAGAAGGGGTTTGGAGTAGTCAAGAATGCTACTAAAACTGAATACTAGATCTATCCCTAGACTATTGGAATTGCTATTGAAAGCTTGATATTGAACATGCCCCCATGGGCTAGTTTAGTGTGTGGGGTAGGTCCCTGGGATGAGACCAGTTTGTGGGCCCAATCTGGCACGCATAAGGCCAGGGCTTGATCCTGCCCCTGGTCCCTGGCCCCACATGTGTTTGATTAGACCTCAGCCCCTCACATGCCATGCTGGCCCCTGGCCCCAGCTCCAGGCACACTGGATTGGGCGTCCTCACTCTGGCCACAGCTCCATATGTGCACTGTATTGGGCCCCACTGCCCCAGGCCTGACTCTGGACAGGGCCATGTCACCTAGCCCATGGGGTTTAGAAACTTGGTGGTGAGGGAGCTGTGGCAATGTTAGTTGCCACTGGTCCCCTACCACATTTCCAGACCCTTGGGGAGACCTGCAGACCAGATTGCATGTGTCTGCTGGATCTGGGCTGTAGGCTTGGGCTCAAGTACCCTTGCCTCAGGTCATTTTCAGGTACAGAAGCACATTGTGATGAGAGAAATGTTAAGGAATTCTGCAGGGAGAGAGAGGATGAATGCTAAGAAGCACCAGTCTGTCATCTCTTGCTGTACTTAGAAAATCTGACTGAGCTTCATTCATTGTCATTTAATGTCATAAGCTCGCAAGGCATTTTAGCACCCCCTCCTCCCCTTCATTCAAATATTCAAAGTAGTAATTTTACTTGGCATGAAATGCTCTCTTTCTCTTCATTGCTAACAGCCATAGAAGCACTGGAGCAGCAATCATGCTGTTCATACCTTTTATATAATAGTGAGATAATTGATATTTGAGCTAGGTATGTGAGGTCCACCTTTTTGATAGGACTACCTAGCCCTTCTCTTTGCCTTGGTATCTTCTGACTCAACTGGGTACAATGAGCGTAAAAGGCTGCTTATGAGTGCTGCAACTGGGTGCTTTAGAGACCTACTAGCGCTTACACCCTCTGGTCTCTCCCCTATTTGGTAGACTCTTGCCACATCTTGATGTTAAAATTTAATAAGGGAGGCTGCACAGAGAGCAAGGCA